CCGTGTTCACATCATAGACCAGAATGGACAGTTCCTCTGTTACATAGGCTGTGGACTGGTTAATTATCCAATAGGACTATGTACAGACACATGTGACAATCTGTTTGTTGCTGAATATAAGAAAGGGCAAGTGAAAAAAATAAAATATCTGCAATGAAAAAGTTATTAACAGCTTGATCATCTCTGTGGACATAAAATTTCACAGAGAGGCTATTCTTTCAAATAGACCGTCTTTAAAATCTTTAAGACACACATATTATATAATACGGACAAGAAAAATTCTCTAAGTTTTAAATGTAAAATGAATGAAAAATCCAATATGTTCTGTATTATACAAAATAAAAGATTAGGTTTTATGGTGGAGTTTTATCTCTCAGTCACTTCCCAGCTGGCCCATAGGAAGCAATTTTAGTTTGGACTATGCACTATCAAAATGTCCTTGACAAGCCCAAAAATGATCATCAGGCATTTTATTGAAGGGGCACAAGGATATATTTTCTAAGTATTCTACCCCCCCCCTTTTGTATTCCAACATGTAATTCTTAATAAACAAATACTCTAAATTTGTAAACATGGAAGATCAAAGTCTTTGAGGGTAATAAAATCAGTGGTGATAAGAGATGAAAGGTCCTAAATATAGAGAACCCCGATCCTTCAACTGGCGTCATAATTTCATTAATATTATGGATTCTGTTGAAAATTACGCCGACGATGGGCCAGATACGAAAAAGAAGACGTTGACACTTTGTCAGAATGAATTTAGTGTATCAGATTCATGTTAAAGTCAGTATTAAAAGATTGAGGGACAATATGAAAACTATCTATCCTTCTGCGTTCAATAAACCAGAAGTGAAAAAAAGAATTAGATAGATTACATGATCATTACGTACTGGTCCCTGCCGACAAAGCAGTTAACAATATTGTCTTTGTTTGTAAGGCTCCTCATATAAATTGTATTCTAGAAGAACTTGGATTTAATTCTACCAGTGGTAATCCTACTTTTACTCATACTTCCCTTTCAAAGGAAAAAATTCTTCAAAATCATTTGTCAGTTTTGAATATTTTTAACATTCCACAGAGTCAAATTGAATTTGAACTACCTTATATATATTGGATTCCGAAACTTCATAAGAATCCTTACAAACAAAGATACATTGCGAGTTCCAGTAAATGATCAACCAAGCCTCTTTCGTTACTCATCATTAAGATATTGACAGTATTGAAGGAAAGACTTCAAGAGTACTGCGCAACTATATATTCAAGAAGTGGTGTGAATCAGATGTGGATGCTAAAACATTCCAAACAACTTTTTTGGATAATTTGAAATCACAAGATTTTACCAAAATCAACAGCTTAAAAACGTACGACTTTTTAACTTTATACACAATCATTTCTCACGATAAATGACTTTCTGATATCATTGACAGCTGCTTCTTCAATAAAAATGGAACTCGAAATTGACTTACCTAGTCATTGTTCATTATTTTGTTAAAAAAAGATTCTGATTGTACACACAAGTACTCTGAATTGACATCAAGAAGATGCCTGAGTTTCTGATTGACAATATCTATGTGGTTTTTGGAGACAAAGTCTTCCAACAATCTATTGGAATTTCCGTGGGAAGCAATTGCGCAATTATTAGCAGACCTATTTTTGTATTCATATGAAGCAGAATTTATGCAAAATCTTATGCGTGAAAAGAAGAAAACACTTGCTGTGGCCTTCAACTCGACCTTCAGATATCTCGACGACGTATTGTCAACGAGCAATGGTAATTTGCATTCCTACGTCGATACGATATATCCAGGAGAGCTTGAGATAAAAGATACCACAGAGTCTGACACATCTGTTTCATACTTAATGGTAATCTAGCAACCAAGTTATGTGATAAACATGATGTGACTTTAACTTTTCTATCGTTAACTTCCCGTACTTATGCAGTAATATACCTTCATCACCTGCATACGGAGTGTATACGAGGGGTTATCAAAAAGTTCGTGGACTTAGTAGATAAAATTAGAACTATGTTGTCTGTGCTTTCAAAATTTATATGCAACATAAAACAACAAAAAAATAAAGAAATGTTGAAAATTTTAGCCTGATACGTTCATTATTTGCCAAATTATTATAAAGCAAATACAACATTGTATGATCACCTGGCGTTGTCGTCGTTTATTTTCATGACGTCCGACAACGTCAAGGTCTTTATTAATGTCTGCCTCTTCTACCTCATACACTTTTTTATGAGATTCCCTGGAGCTGAGTAAGGACTAAAACCCGCCCTATCTATATGATTTTACAATGTTATGAACAGCGGCTTTCAATGAATATAATTTTCAAATGGATTTATACACTGGGAGAGATCCTTGCTTGATTGTGCCAGCATATTTTGCTTTTGGAAGTTCAATATCTACAACCGATGATCAACGTCATTTTTTGACGTGATTGAATTTTCACAACTGACTACAAATCGACATTAATTGTGCATCCCTTTTCACTCTGAATCTATTTTGACATTGAGGAGAAGTATTCTGGATGCATATTATTTCTCTGTAGCCAATTTAAACATTTTATTAGGTCTATACCAGTTTTTTCAGGGGCAAAACTTTATAGAATGTTGGAAAAGGAAACCCCTCCTTTCTTTTTACGTCATTTTTAAGGCATCATTTGTTTGGACATTCCATGTAAAATTCGCGATAAAATTTCATAGATATTCCTGAATGAAGTGAAAATTTCATATTTTATGGAACAATAGTGTCCCAACACATACTTGAATTAATGGGATTTTTGGATGTCAAATATTCATACCAAAAGAGTTTTTCTCAGTTACACAGGGGTCGGAAAAACGTCGGGTTTGAGGTTGCGCCGCCTGAACATACCATTGCTTACAAAAACATTGCTAATTTATTAAAAAATAAAATATATGATTTATGGTTTATTCTTTAGATGGAAAAGATGATGCTGAATAGATATATCAAAATTCACTGATGTACCTAAAGCGGTTTTAATTTAATGGCGCTAGTCCACGAACTTTTTGATAACCCCTCATATATCTCAGTTGATTAGATATGCAAGAGCATGCTCTACGTATGAACAATTTCTAAGACGAGGTTAATAAGTGAAAAGTAAGTTGATGAAACAAGAATATCAGCAGTCTCGTTTAAAGTCATCATTTCGTAAGTTCTATGGTCGATAAAACTTTTTAGATCCTAAAATTTTTTTCAGCTAAATTTTAGGGTCAGGAGCTAGCCAGGTCCTTTATTTAGGCTACGTTAAGACTTGATGCACTAGTCAGATTTATTTAACACGCAAACATAAAATGGACAAGAAATAAGTGTTAAATTTTAATTTAACGAAGGAAAATAGTGTATCTATTTTACAAAATGAATGCAAAATATGATCAATCTTTACCGGTTTCTTATTTATTATGTTTTTGTCCCACAATAGAGTAACAAAAAAAAAAGTCATATGGACGGAATAAAGAAAAAAACTATAAAAAAAGCCAACAAAAATCATTTGTCGTCACTCAAATCAATAAGGTTATATTATATTCACCCTTAAAACAATAAATATTTTAGGGTTATTGAACTTATACTGGTGAATATTGGCACAAGTTGGCTGTTAAAATGCACGAGCTTGCGAGTGCATTTGAACAGCCAACGAGTGCCAATATTCACAAATATAAGTTCAATAACTCCTTTATTATATAGCTTAAACATTTCCACATAATTTATAATTATTATTCCAGCTAAAAAACTCCTCAAATTAATGATTTTTCTGTATCGGTATTCAAATTAACGTCTGACCTGTTAGCGTTCAAAATCGCATCATTCCGATGACCCTACCGAGCGATATGATTTGCTTCTTTAGGTTTAAATGGGTCTAATACATACTATATTTTAATAAATAATTTCATTTTTGTGTGAAAAGTAAACACATCTTACCTAGATGCCACTTCATTTAGCTCTAAGAATTTGAACAGACGACATTTTTTGTTTACAATGGGGCGTTCGATATTGAACGCTCGTATTCGGAATGTTTCGGACATACTCATATACGTAATATAGCAGCTTTTCAATAATTCCAGTTAAGATTCCAATAAGTTATTTAAACATTAACAGAAGTACATGTAACTTTTCTTTAACAAGAATAAGGAAGAACTTTAAAAAAGGTTTTCTCAAGGATGAAAAATTTTCATCCTAATGTTAATTTTCTTTTCGTTTTGCATAGATTAGAACACACAGCTGTTTAGGTAAAGTAAGGTTATTTCTAGGAATTCAGAGTTTACTAGGTCTGGCAGAGATCAGCATGCAAATTCTAAGTACCTTTTATTTTGATCATTTTTAATACATGTAATTAATTTTAATTCTTAGTCATTTTTTTTACGTATTCTACAAAATTTAAAAAAATGTAGCATTCCTAATGTTACTGTCAACATTACATGCAAGTCTTCAGTGAGTTACAATGTTATTTCTATGACATGCTGTTAAGTTATTCAGTCTTAACTGTTCATTCAAAGAGATCCTCATTTTTGGTGCAGACTTTAGACACAGGTTCCACATCAGTGCAGGGCATGCTAATTCTCCAGTGATTAAAGGGACCTGGGAACCTTCCTTCAAAACAAAGTCCTGACCAAAGCAGGTCATATTCTTATTCTTGTACATGTGTAACAATTAAAAGTTTGAATTCTAAATTTTTTAAAGTAGCAGTCTATTTTAAAACAATTTGACTCATGAACATTAAGAATTCAGGATGAAAATACAATGAAGGCATATTATCATGATGAAATATGAAGATAAACAGTAATGTCAAGCTCAAAGTCCATAGAAAACAATACAAAGTGGAAGCAGATCATATAGAGATGTCTTTTAAATACATCAAAGGTGGGATCAGGTGCCATTGAGAAGTAAGCTCCCTTAGATCTGTTGATTGGTAACACTACCATATGCTCACTATTTGTTCATTTTATAAACGAAATAAATTTCTGTCTCGATCCATACCTTGATATTGTCTGAGACTCCTTTGTCACTCAAACATTCAACAAACGTCTCAAAGGCATAATTCAGGCCGGGAACCAGCATATGAACCTGATTAACAATAAAAGACATTTAGTATAATTTTTTTTCAGATTTCACCTGATCATACATTGTAATTTTACAACAAAAAATATAATTTCTTATGAAGATCTTAGTTTGAAATGAAAATAATGGCAGAATACAGACCCCAATGAAGGATTTTTTGAAGGAGTACAGTTTCTCGTCGTATAAGAACGTAATCAGTAAACTGGTGGAGGGCTGACTGAGGGACCTGTTCTGTAGATTGACCCTTAGTTTGAAGGTAGGACCGATTCCTTGTACCTGAAAGTATCATGTTCATACATGTATAACCACATAAATATTTAAGGAATGAAGCTTAATTATTTCGTTTTGTTTTGTTATTAATTTATGATATATAACATAGCTTGGGGCAGTTTACGCTTTATAAACCATGAAGCTGTTTATAAAGACGTAAGCTACCTCAAGTTAATTTATAGCATATAATATAAGTTTAAATAAGCTTTATTCCTTATAATTTAATTTCAGTGTAGACAATGAGACAATTTTTCCTCTGAAAAAAAGGCATAAAGGAACTAATTGCGGTATATTGCATATATTTGCCCCCACAAAAGTTAAATTTTGAAAACTTCCTGAATTGTACTGAATTCAATAAATTGTATGAGAAATATAAATTAACAGAAAATATTATATTGTCAAAGCAGTGTATTCATTATTTTTGATTATATGACGTCACAAACTAGTCCGATTTTATATCCTTTTTCAGAGAGAGTACAAAATGGACAAACGTTCGACAATTTTAGCTTTAAAATTTATAGAGTGCAAGTTTGTTCAGAAACAATATTGACATATTTCAAAGATATTATCATTCTACACATTATATAAAAATATTGAGCCTGAATACACATGCGCTCGGTGACTTTTACTCAAAATATCGACGAAATGTGTACATTTTTCTGTAAAATTCATAAAATACTGAAATTTACGTCATGTTTGTGACGTCATTACGTACATATAGCGTCATTACTTATGAAAATATTCAGTGCTTTGAAATCAGCATATACTCTTCTGTTTAAGAACTTAATTAAATATATCTCCATTAAAGTTTGATTTGGGGGGCAAATATTGGTTATTACCAAATAAGTTCTTTAGCATATTTTAAAAGTAACGTCAAACAGAGTAGTACGATTTTGACGTTTCTCATTGTGAAGTATGCAAGTTACATATAACATAATGGATTAAATCATTTACCCAGGCAAATGATGTGCTGCAAATAAAATTAAATTATCAATAATTGAATTAAATGTTTATGCTTACATTAATTAGCCTCAGAATAATTCTTCTTCCTATAAATATTTTGATTTGCCACAGTAATCAATCTTTTTCTACTTTTTTCTCCTCAGTGAGAATATTAATCCCTACACCATTTTACATTATGTCAAATGCTATGAGATGTGTAAATGTAGAGATCACATGTACTGATATGCTACAGACCTGAGCGTTTAGTTTGTGAGGCTCAGTTGGATCAGATGATACACTTATACTATAACAATACAGACCTTAACACTGAGTTTGAGTGGCTTGGTGTCACTTGTACTATAACACAATTCAGACCTTAACACTGAGTTTGAGTGGCTTGGTGTCACTTGTACTATAACACAATACACACCTGAACATTGAGTTTGAGTGGCTTGGTGTCACTTGTACTATAACACAATACAGACCTGAACATTGAGTTTGAGTGGCTTGGTGTCACTTGTACTATAACACAATTCAGACCTTAACACTGAGTTTGAGTGGCTCGGTGTCACTTGTACTATAACACAATACAGACGTGAGCATTGAGTTTGAGTGGCTTGGTGTCACTTGTACTATAACACAATACAGACCTGAGCATCGAGTTTGAGTGGCTTGGTGTCACTTGTACTATAACACAATACGGACGTGAGCATTTAGTTTGAGTGGTTTGGTGTCACTTGTACTATAACACAATACAGACGTGAGCATTGATTTTGAGTGGCTTGGTGTCACTTGTACTAGAAAACAATACAGACCTGAGCATTGAGTTTGAGTGGCTTGGTGTCACTTGTACTATAAAACAATACAGACGTGAGCATTGAGTTTGAGTGGCTCGGTGTCACTTGTACTATAACACAATACAGACGTGAGCATTGAGTTTGAGTGGCTCGAGGTCACTTGTACTATAACACAATACAGACGTGAGCATTGAGTTTGAGTGGTATGGTGTCACTTGCACTATAACAATACAGACCTGAGCATCGAGTTTGAGTGGCTTGGTGTCACTTGTACTATAACACAATACGGACGTGAGCATTGAGTTTGAGTGGTTTGGTGTCACTTGTACTATAACACAATACAGACGTGAGCATTGAGTTTGAGTGGCTTGGTGTCACTTGTACTAGAAAACAATACAGACCTGAGCATTGAGTTTGAGTGGCTTGGTGTCACTTGTACTATAACACAATACAGACGTGAGCATTGAGTTTGAGTGGCTCGGTGTCACTTGTACTATAACACAATACAGACGTGAGCATTGAGTTTGAGTGGTTTGGTGTCACTTGTACTATAACACAATACAGACGTGAGCATTGAGTTTGAGTGGTATGGTGTCACTTGCACTATAACAATACAGACGTGAGCATTGAGTTTGAGTGGCTTGGTGTCACTTGTACTATAACACAATACAGACCTGAACATTGAGTTTGAGTGGCTTGGTGTCACTTGTACTATAACACAATTCAGACCTTAACACTGAGTTTGAGTGGCTCGGTGTCACTTGTACTATAACACAATACAGACGTGAGCATTGAGTTTGAGTGGCTTGGTGTCACTTGTACTATAACACAATACAGACCTGAGCATCGAGTTTGAGTGGCTTGGTGTCACTTGTACTATAACACAATACGGACGTGAGCATTGAGTTTGAGTGGTTTGGTGTCACTTGTACTATAACACAATACAGACGTGAGCATTGATTTTGAGTGGCTTGGTGTCACTTGTACTAGAAAACAATACAGACCTGAGCATTGAGTTTGAGTGGCTTGGTGTCACTTGTACTATAAAACAATACAGACGTGAGCATTGAGTTTGAGTGGCTCGGTGTCACTTGTACTATAACACAATACAGACGTGAGCATTGAGTTTGAGTGGTTTGGTGTCACTTGTACTATAACACAATACAGACCTGAGCATTGAGATTGAGTGGTATGGTGTCACTTGCACTATAACAATACAGACCTGAGCATCGAGTTTGAGTGGCTCGGTGTCACTTGTACTATAACACAATACGGACGTGAGCATTGAGTTTGAGTGGTTTGGTGTCACTTGTACTATAACACAATACAGACGTGAGCATTGAGTTTGAGTGGCTTGGTGTCACTTGTACTAGAAAACAATACAGACCTGAGCATTGAGTTTGAGTGGCTTGGTGTCACTTGTACTATAACACAATACAGACGTGAGCATTGAGTTTGAGTGGCTCGGTGTCACTTGTACTATAACACAATACAGACGTGAGCATTGAGTTTGAGTGGTTTGGTGTCACTTGTACTATAACACAATACAGACGTGAGCATTGAGTTTGAGTGGTATGGTGTCACTTGCACTATAACAATACAGACGTGAGCATTGAGTTTGAGTGGTTTGGTGTCACTTGTACCATAACAAAATAGAGACGTGAGCATTGAGTTTGTGTGGCTTGGTGTCACTTGTACTATAACACAATACAGACGTGAGCATTGAGTTTGAGTGGCTCGGTGTCACTTGTACTATAACACAATACAGACGTGAGCATTGAGTTTGAGTGGTTTGGTGTCACTTGTACTAGAACACAATACAGACCTGAGCATTGAGTTTGAGTGGTTTGGTGTCACTTGTACTATAACACAATACAGACCTGAGCATTGAGTTTGAGTGGCTTGGTGTCACTTGTACTATAACACAATACAGAACTGGGCATTGAGTTTGAGTGGCTTGGTGTCACCTGTACTATAACACAATACAGACGTGAGCATTGAGTTTATGTGGCTTGGTGTTACTTGTACTATAACACAATACAGACGTGAGCATTGAGTTTGAGTGGCTCGGTGTCACTTGTACTATAACACAATACAGACGTGAGCATTGAGTTTGAGTGGCTTGGTGTCACTTGTACTATAACACAATACAGAACTGGGCATTGAGTTTGAGTGGCTTGGTGTCACTTGTACTATAACACAATACAGTCCTTAGCATTGAGTTTGAGTGGCTTGGTGTCACTTGTACTAGAACACAATACAGACGTGAGCATTGAGTTTGAGTGGCTTGGTGTCACTTGTACTATCACACAATACAGACGTGAGCATTGAGTTTGAGTGGCTCGGTGTCACTTGTACTATAACACAATACAGACGTGAGCATTGAGTTTGAGTGGCTTGGTGTCACTTGTACTATAACACAATACAGACGTGAGCATTGAGTTTGAGTGGCTCGGTGTCACTTGTACTATAACACAATACAGACGTGAGCATTGATTTTGAGTGGCTTGGTGTCACTTGTACTATAACACAATACAGAACTGGGCATTGAGTTTGAGTGGCTTGGTGTCACTTGTACTATAACACAATACAGACGTGGACATTGAGTTTGAGTGGCTTGGTGTCACTTGTACTATAACACAATACAGACCCGAGCATTGAGTTTGAGTGGCTTGGTGTCACTTGTACTATAACACAATACAGACGTGAGCATTTAGTTTGAGTGGCTCGGTGGGATCAGATGAAATCACTTGTACTATAACTTAATACGGACTTGAGCATTGAGTTTGAGTGGCTTGGTTGGATCAGATGAGATCACTTGTACTATAACACAATACAGACCTGATCATTGAGTTTGAGTGGCTTGGTGTCACTTGTACTATAACACAATTCAGACCTAAACACTGAGTTTGAATGGCTTGGTGTCACTTGTACTATAATACAATTCAGACCTTAACACTGAGTTTGAGTGGCTTGGTGTCACTTGTACTATAACACAATACAGACCTGAGCATTGAGTTTGAGTGGCTTGGTGTCACTTGTACTAAAACACAATTCAGACCTTAACACTGAGTTTGAGTGGCTTGGTGTCACTTGTACTATAACACAATTCAGACCTTAACACTGAGTTTGAGTGGATTGGTGTCACTTGTACTATAATACAATTCAGACCTTAACACTGAGTTTGAGTGGCTTAGTGTCACTTGTACTATAACACAATACAGAACTGTGCATTGAGTTTGAGTGGCTTGGTGTCACTTGTACTATAACACAATACAGACGTGGGCATTGAGTTTGAGTGGCTCGGTGTCACTTGTACTATAACAGAATACAGACGTGAGCATTGAGTTTGAGTGGCTCGGTGTCACTTGTACTATAACAGAATACAGACGTGAGCATTGAGTTTGAGTGGTTTGGTGTCACTTGTACTAGAACACAATACAGACGTGAGCATTGAGTTTGAGTGGTTTGGTGTCACTTGTACTATAACACAATACAGACGTGAGCATTGAGTTTGAGTGGCTTGGTGTCACTTGTACTATAACACAATACAGACGTGGGCATTGAGTTTGAGTGGCTTGGTGACACTTGTACTATAACACAATACAGACGTGGGCATTGAGTTTGAGTGGCTCGGTGTCACTTGTACTATAACAGAATACAGACGTGAGCATTGAGTTTGAGTGGCTTGGTGTCACTTGTACTTTAACACAATACAGAACTGGGCACTGAGTTTGAATGGCTTGGTGTCACTTGTACTATAACACATTACAGAACTGGGCACTGAGTTTGAATGGCTTAGTGTCACTTGTACTATAACACAATACAGACGTGAGCATTGAGTTTGAGTGGCTTGGTGTCACTTGTAATATAACACATTACAGAACTGGGCACTGAGTTTGAGTGGCTTGGTGTCACTTGTACTATAACACAATAGAGACGTGAGCATTGAGTTTGTGTGGCTTGGTGTCACTTGTACTATAACACAATACAGACGTGAGCATTGAGTTTGAGTGGCTCGGTGTCACTTGTACTATAACACAATACAGACGTGAGCATTGAGTTTGAGTGGTTTGGTGTCACTTGTACTAGAACACAATACAGACGTGAGCATTGAGTTTGAGTGGTTTGGTGTCACTTGTACTATAACACAATACAGACCTGAGCATTGAGTTTGAGTGGCTTGGTGTCACTTGTACTATAACACAATACAGACGTGGGCATTGAGTTTGAGTGGCTTGGTGTCACTTGTACTATAACACAATACAGACGTGGGCATTGAGTTTGAGTGGCTCGGTGTCACTTGTACTATAACAGAATACAGACGTGAGCATTGAGTTTGAGTGGCTTGGTGTCACTTGTACTTTAACACAATACAGAACTGGGCACTGAGTTTGAATGGCTTGGTGTCACTTGTACTATAACACATTACAGAACTGGGCACTGAGTTTGAATGGCTTAGTGTCACTTGTACTATAACACAATACAGACGTGAGCATTGAGTTTGAGTGGCTTGGTGTCACTTGTAATATAACACAATACAGACCTGTGCATTGAGTTTGAGTGGCTTGGTGTCACTTGTACTATAACACAATAGAGACGTGAGCATTGAGTTTGTGTGGCTTGGTGTCACTTGTACTATAACACAATACAGACCTGAGCATTGAGTTTGAGTGGCTTGGTGTCACTTGTACTATAACACAATACAGACCTGAACATTGAGTTTGAGTGGTTTGGTGTCACTTGTACTATAACACAATACAGACGTGAGCATTGAGTTTGAGTGGTTTGGTGTCACTTGTACTATAACACAATACAGACCTGAGCATTGAGTTTGAGTGGCTTGGTGTCACTTGTACTATAACACAATACAGAACTGGGCATTGAGTTTGAGTGGCTCGGTGTCACTTGTACTATAACACAATACAGACGTGAGCATTGAGTTTGTGTGGCTTGGTGTCACTTGTACTATAACACAATACAGACGTGAGCATTGAGTTTGAGTGGTTTGGTGTCACTTGTACTATAACACAATACAGACGTGAGCATTGAGTTTGAGTGGCTCGGTGTCACTTGTACTATAACACAATACAGACGTAAGCATTGAGTTTGAGTGGCTTGGTGTCACTTGTACTATAACACAATACAGAACTGGGCATTGAGTTTGAGTGGCTTGGTGTCACTTGTACTATAACACAATACAGACCTGGACATTGAGTTTGAGTGGCTTGGTGTCACTTGTACTATAACACAATACAGACCCGAGCATTGAGTTTGAGTGGCTTGGTGTCACTTGTACTATAACACAATACAGACGTGAGCATTTAGTTTGAGTGGCTTGGTGGGATCAGATGAGATCACTTGTACTATAACTTAATACGGACTTGAGCATTGAGTTTGAGTGGCTTGGTTGGATCAGAAGAGATCACTTGTACTATAACACAATACAGACCTGATCATTGAGTTTGAGTGGCTTGGTGTCACTTGTACTATAACACAATACAGACGTGAACATTGAGTTTGAATGGCTTGGTGTCACTTGTACTATAACACAAATCAGACCTTAACACTGAGTTTGAGTGGCTTGGTGTCACTTGTACTATAACACAAATCAGACCTTAACACTGAGTTTGAATGGCTTGGTGTCACTTGTACTATAATACAATTCAGACCTTAACACTGAGTTTGAGTGGCTTGGTGTCACTTGTACTATAACACAATACAGAACTGGGCATTGAGTTTGAGTGGCTTGGTGTCACTTGTACTATAACACAATACAGAACTGTGCATTGAGTTTGAGTGGCTTGGTGTCACTTGTACTATAACACAATACAGACGTGGGCATTGAGTTTGAGTGGCTTGGTGTCACTTGTACTATAACACAATACAGACGTGAGCATTGAGTTTGAGTGGTTTTGTGTCACTTGTACTATAACACAATACAGACGTGAGCATTGAGTTTGAGTGGTTTGGTGTCACTTGTACTATAACACAATACAGACCTGAGCATTGAGTTTGTGTGGCTTGGTGTCACTTGTACTATAACACAATACTAACTGAGTATTGAGTTTGAGTGGCTTGGTGTCACTTGTACTATTACACAATACAGACGTGAGCATTGAGTTTGAGTGGCTTGGTGTCACTTGTACTAGAACACAATACAGACCTGAGCATTGAGTTTGAGTGGCTGGGTGTCACTTGTACTATAACATAATACAGACGTGAGCGTTGAGTTTGAGTGGCTTGGTGTCACTTGTATTATAACACAATACAGACGTGAGCATTGAGTTTGAGTGGCTTGGTGTCACTTGTACTAGAACACAATACAGACCTGAGCATTGAGTTTGAGTGGCTTGGTGTCATTTGTACTAGAACACAATACAGACGTGAGCATTGAGTTTGAGTGGCTTGGTGTCACTTGTACTATAACACAATACAGACGTGAGCATTGAGTTTGTGTTGCTTGGTGTCACTTGTACTAAAACACAATACAGACGTGAGCATTGAGTTTGAGTGGCTTGGTGTCACTTGTACTAAAACACAATACAGACCTGAGCGTTGAGTTTGAGTGGCTTGGTGTCACTTGTACTATAACACAATACAGACGTGAGCATTGAGTTTGAGTGGCTTGGTGTCACTTGTACTTTAACACAATACAGACGTGAGCATTGAGTTTGTGTGGCTTGGTGTCACTTGTACTAAAACACAGTACAGACCTGAGCATTGAGTTTGAGTGGCTCGGTGTCACTTGCACTATAACAAAATACAGACCTGAGCATTGCATTTGAGTGGCTCGGTGTCACTTGTACTATAACACAACACAGACCTGAGAATTGAGTTTGAGTGGCTCGGTGTCATTTGTACTATAACACAATACAGTCGTGAGCATTGAGTTTGAGTGGCTTGGTGGGATCAGATGAGATCACTTGTACTATAACACAATACAGTCGTGAGCATTGAGTTTGAGTGGCCCGGTGGGATAGGATGAGATCACTTGTACTATAACACAATACAGTCGTGAGCATTGAGTTTGAGTGGCCCGGTGGGATCAGATGAGATCACTTGTACTATAACACAATACGGACCTGAGCATTGAGTTTGTGTGGCTTGGTGTCACTTGTACTATAACACAATACAGTCGTGAGCATTGAGTTTGAGTGGCCCGGTGGGATCAGATGAGATCACTTGTACTATAACACAATACAGACCTGAGCATTGAGTTTGAGTGGCTTGGTGTCACTTGTACTAGAACACAATACAGACGTGAGCATTGAGTTTGAGTGGCTTGGTGTCACTTGTACTATTGCACAATACAGACCTTAGCATTGAGTTTGAGTGGTTTGGTGTCACTTGTACTAGAACACAATACAGACGTGAGCATTGAGTTTGAGTGGCTTGGTGTCACTTGTACTATAACACAATACAGACCTTAGCATTGTGTTTAAGAGGCTCGGTGGGATCAGATGAGATGGGATTCATGCTGTTGTTTAGGGACTTGGCATACTCCCTTAGTGTGTTCAACCTCAGTAGATACAAGTCCCTCTGGAACGTCCTGTGCATGGCTGACAAAGATTGATGATAAAGATCAGATTTTGTAGCACATAATGCATATATTTAATTATTTATACAATCCAAAAGACAATTTTGTTATTTTTCATTGAGATTATGTCAAACTACCTCCCCCCCAACTGTGCCATGATCAATGAAATTCGAATCTTCACTATAAATGGAATTTATTTTAATAAAGTAACATTAGTAACTATATGGTCATCTTGTTTTTCAAAAGCAATTAATATCTGATTTTTTGAAAATTAAAAGCAAGTCATTTCCTGTGACATTCCTTTCTAGATGCAAACATGATTTAGAGAAACTTTATTTTGTACTACATGAGGAAGGTTTCACCATAAGTGCTGTCTTACTATGCCCCAGTAATGGAGATATTGTGGGTAGATGAGTTTTTGTTTTGTACATCTGTCTGTTTATCTATTTGTGATTGTCTACAAAAACTTTAAATAAGCTTGTCTATGACTTTTGACTGGGTATGGCTTTCATATTTCACAGACCTTGTATTCCACGTGACAAGGCCTTTTTTTTGGTACCACCAAATATTATTTCTTGACCTTGGAATTTGGTCTTCTTTTACAAAAACTACCAAACCTTAACCAGTAAACTTTGACATAACTTTTGAACTGTTGGTGGTTAGGGCTTTCATACTTCATATGTGTATTCATGGTGACAAGACCTTTCAATTGGTATAACTATTTTTGACCTTTCGACCTTGGCCTTAGAGTTTAACCCTCTTGTTAAAAAAAAACCTTGGCAGTTACTTTTGAACAGTTATAACTATAAGAGCTCTTACATCACAGGTATATTCCTTGGGAAATGACCTTCTAATAAATTTTCATTAATCAATTCAGTACGTAAATTATATGAACAAGGCAGCTGGCTACTTTAATAAGTTTTAAAAATAAATTATATTGAATGTTCACTTTTAATTATCAATTTTCAACTAAAAAATATATGTACTTAAGAGAAGTAATCTTGATACTAGTAGTTTATAATAACAATGAATAAGAATACAGCCAAGTAAGAAAAGGAGTGCTAATTTAAATCCTCAGTGCAAGTAGACCAGGAAGTAAAATACCAGAAAGGTAGATAACACAGGTAGGTGGATCATGTGATACCTGTACAGATCAGAGATAGACATTGTACAAGCATTTGACAAGACAGGTGCCATTATAATCTGCAGGTAATATTCATGGATGAATTTATTTGATAAATCTTGTTTATAACAATAAGATAATTTTTAAATATATAAACTGAATAAAAATGATTATGCATTGTAACTTCATGTAATAGTCTACAAATTAATATTAATGTGAATTGTATACCCATAAAGAAGGATTATTTAAAGCTAAAAAAAATTGACTTGTCTCAGGGACTTGTGTTTCAGTACTTTGGAATGCGTGGATTATTCTTATTATCAAAATAACATATTTGAGAAAAAATGCCGGGTAGGACATTGGAAAATCTTTGAGATGATGTGACGAGTATGCTATAATGGAGCATATCATGTGACTGTCTCCACTCTGGGTGGAACAGAGGCATGTATACATATATTGTATACATGTAATATAAAAAGAGAAGTTTACTTTTCAGAAGAAAACACTAAAACCTGATTTGTTTTTTTAATGGAAATTATTAAATTAGTTTGGCAAAAATTTTAAACACCCTTCATACATTTGCGACAGGAAAGTTCTTTTTTTTTTGGGTGGTGTTATACCTTTTTCTTCATGTCAGACGTTCAAACAAAAAGACTCCTCTGATTGATTTTGTATGTTGTTTACGTCCCTTTCAAGAATTTCTCACTCTTATAGAAATGCCTCCACTTGCCGATGGAGAGCTACAAATTTTGTCCTAAACTCGACACTCA